AGAAATTCCTGGCCCGGGAAGAGGAGAACAGGCCCCTCCCCCGCCTCTCACTGCCGTCCCAAAGAAAGCTGCTGCTGGGAGCGGAGGAAACGCCATAGACGAGGCACACACTAAGCCTAAGGTCAGCTCAAGAGTTGTGGGGGTGAGGGTGGGGTGTCTTTCTGACCCCAGCCCTCCGTCCAAGTGCAGAGTCCAAAAGACGCTTGCTCACAAAGCATCTTGTCCTCCCAGCACTGGGGACAGAGCAGACATGGAAAGGACCTCAGAGGCCACCCAATCTGTAGTCTGACGGCGCTCCCCTCCCCCAGTGCTAGAGAAGGGGAAACTAAGAAGCCCAGAGAGGGGAAGTGACTTTCCCATGGTCACAGAGCAAAGCTGAACCTCGTCCTTCAGCCACCCGGGTCAGGGCTCTGTCCTTGCCCCCACAATCTTGCTTCTCCTTTTAGGTGTCTGAACCTGTCCTGTGGCCCTCACCACCATCAGGCTAAACAGAACCTGGGCCCCAGAAGCTCCCTAAGTCACACAGAGCCTAAGAGCCTCTCTTCTCCATCACCCTCTCCTTCATCCCACGACTGCCTTACCGGGTCTGCCACCTTCTCTCAACCTGTTCCCTGCTCTCTCTCTCTCTCTCTCTCTCTCTCTCTCTCTCTCTCTCTCTCTCTCTCTCTCTCTCTCTCTGTCTCTCTCTGTCTCTGTATCTCTGTCTCTCTCTGATGGGGTACAGGGGTGCTTCAGGCCCCTTTGGCCAGGGAAGTCGGGATGGGGGAGGAGCCTTGGCTTCCTGTTGTTATCGCCCTGGGGCTCTGGGGGGGATTTCCCTGGCCACCCCCACCCCCTAGGGAAGGGGAAGGAGACTTGGTGAGTCACACAAGCCTGGGGCGGGAACCCAAGGGTGAGAAGGGGCAGGAGGAACTTTGTCACCAGGTCCTCTTGCAGGATCTGGGTCCATGGCAGACAAGCTGAAGATGTCCTTCGTCCCACGTACCACCCCCTTCCCGGGACGGTCTCGAGGGTTCTTACCTTGGTGCTGGGGCCAGTTGGGGACACAGAGAATGGGGAAGCCTTATTCTGGGGGTTCTGTGAAGAGAGAGTTGGGGCAAGGAGATGAGGATGGTGTCGTGAGAAGTTCTGGACTGACATTTCTGCCCTTCCCTTCCCACCCTCTAGTGAGTCTGGGCCATCCTGACCTGGTGGTTAATGTCGGGTCCATTTCTTTCGGTGTCTGTAAAGGGAGAGAAAGGGCATGTTGCCAGCTGTTCCTACACACTGCTCCCGTTCCCACCTGCCCGCTTCCCTACCTCGGCCCGCCCCCACTCACCTGTGTGCTCTGATGGGGAGTCCAGACTCTGCTTCTCGGCCTCCAGGGGCTTAGACATTCTTATTTCTGGGAACAGAGAAGGAGTGAAAACGGAGGGAAGGGAGAGGAAGCCTGGAGGGCTCTGAGGTCCTCCTTCTGCCAACCCCCACCCCCCCCCCAGTCTTTCCAAACCCCACTCCTACCCCTGAGACTTCAGAGTATCTTTCAAAGGGCTCTGGGCCTCTGCCTTCCCCTGGAAGGACAAGAGAGGGGCACCTCCAAACAGTGGTACAGGAGGTGTCACCTACGGCGAGGCCCTGGGGCGGGGTGGAATATGGTTACAAGAAGGCATCAGCTGTCTGGGAGGAGCTGAGCCGTTCCATAAAGGAGCTAGTGCATCCCCTGGCCGGTGGCTGAAGCTCTAGTCCTGCCGTACCGGGTGTCGGGTGAGACATGTTTTCCTCTCTGAGTAGGGCAAGTGAGATGTGATGGGCTTGCCGGAACGCCCAAGCAGAGAGCTGTCAGATATCAGGGTGTGATTCAGTCATCCTCTGAGCCACCACTTTCCCTGTCCCTGTGTCTCCCACCGGGCTTCCTCCGTCTTGCATGATGTCACAAGCCTGGCAGCCCCACCCTACGCCTCTCCAAGCCCAACACCATCCACCTCTACCCTGACCCTGGTCTTCAAAGCCACCCTAGACTTTATGGCTCCCACAACCCCGAATCCCAGCTGCCTTCTCAAATCTACTTTCTTTCTATAGTTTCCAGAACCCAAGGGAAGTGGGCAGGGACACAAAAGTCCTCCCAGTGCTGACACCTGTCATGAAAGGTGCATGACTGCCACCACCCAGCACAGAGCCAAGCAGGACACACAAGCCACTGACACTAAAGATTTCACATGGAGGACGCTGAGGCTCCCAGGGCTTTCCCACCAAACCAAAGCTGCTACCCCAGCAGCCGTGAGTATCCTGATTGCACCCTGGTGCTCCTAGATCCAGGCCCCTGCTTCCAACCTGTACCTCTCTAGGATAACAGTCCTCGGCCTCATCAACTGTCCGAAGCCTGTGCTCATCATGGCACCAAATCCTACCCTGCCCGGGGCCTGGGCCGGAGCTGGGTTTCGGCCCCACCCATTCTGAGTTCCCTGACCTCAACCCATACCCAAGATGTTCAAGCCATACTCCAAGTCCTTCGCACACGACCTCGACTCCCAATGGTCTCAAGACTTTACTCACGACACCCCTCCTCGATTACCCAAAAGCCCCACCAGAATCACGAAATCCTGCCCTATCAAAGAAGGCACCCAACTCCAGCATGCTCCTCACCTCATATGGTGGCAGAAGGAACTCTGCTCGAAGGAAAACAGTAGGAGTCTAGGAATTTTGCAATTGAGGATGGGGTGAAAGACAACCCACTCCTGTTGGAGATTCCTAATTCAAAGCTGGTCTGAGGGGGCAGGAAATGGCTCAGAGGTTAAGAGCAAGTACTGAGCCGGGCGGTGGTGGCGCACGCCTTTAATCCCAGCACTGGGGAGGCAGAGGCAGGTGGATCTCTGTGAGTTCGAGACCAGCCTGGTCTACAAGAGCTAGTTCCAAGACAGCCTCCAAAGCCACAGGGAAACCCTGTCCCAAAAAACCAAAAAAAAAAAAAAAAAAAAAAGAGAGAGAGAAACCCTGTTTTGAAAAACCAAAAAGATTTAGTTGGGGGTGGGGTGGTAGGGGAGGATGGGAGGGAGAAGGGATCTGGGATTGGCATGTAAAACAATCTGGAAAGAAAAAAAAAAGAATTATCTATCAAAAAGAAAGAAAGAAAGAAAGAAAGAAAAACCAAAAAGAAAAAAAAAAAAGAGCAAGTACTGGTTTTTTTGTTTGTTTGGTTTTTGGTTTTGGGTTTTTTCGAGACAGGGTTTCTCT